CTGAATAAAACAAAATAGAGAAAGCTCACGCTACAAAGAAAAATGAAGATTGATCTTGGAAGGGTCTCCAGGCTCCCTTCCTCATTGATTAATTACTGTAGATCACCACATGGCTACTCTCTCCCCTGATGAGACAAGTGGTCTCTGTTCCGAGACATTTCATTCCAGTTTTATCACGTTCTCCTAGGGGTTAGAGAATGCTCAGCAGAGTGTAACCAAAATCATTAATATGAGGGCTGGAATTTTGGAATACAATCAGTAGCAGGTCTAGTTAATTGCTGATTATTACACAGGGCAAAAAAAGCATTTTTCCTTAGAAGGGCTTATTAAAACAAATTTAACTCAGATTTATCTGCTATGCCATAAGTATGAATAAATGAAAGGGGTAACTTCCATCTCCCATGATTTCCTGGCATAAGGATTCATACATGACATACAGAATTCTTGATGTCCTTTAGGGTTAGACAATCTTTTATCTTTATCTTAAGCCAGATGTAAGCTCAGCAAAAGGAACTTCTTTCTGGCAACTGAAATTGTCCATGGACTGACCCAGTCTGTGAAGTAGAAACAGCAGAGGTTAAGATTAGAATTAAGGTGAAAGCAGAATTCAAGTCCAACTTCAGAGCCTGTATCCCCACCCCTCGCCCAGTAATTAATAGAAGGAAATGAATAGAGAAAATATGTAAGGAAGAAAAAAGGGAAAAGATGGTTTAACATCAATCTTTTAATAATAATGGACCTACTTATTCATTAGAAGCTAACTCAGCAAAGTAATCTAAGAAGTGACTATATAGGGACCATACTTGAATTTGAAAATAGACTATATGCCAGCCACTGTTCTCAGTGCCTTAATTCTCATAAGTCTTTGAGTTAGGTACCATGTCCCAGTTTACAGATATGGAAAACTAAAGCTCAGAGAAGTTATATAACATGTTCAAGATCACACAGCTTGAAAACAGCAAAGCTGGAAGTCAAAGCTGTGAGTCTGGCTTCACAATTCATGTCCTTAACCAGTGTGCAATACTGCCTCTGTGTCTTTTGGGTGGTAAAATCTGTTCCGGGCAAACATTGTCTTCTTCATCTTCTGATTTAAAATGTTATTTAGGGCTTCCTGGTGGCGCAGTGGTTGAGAGTCCGCCTGCCGATGCAGAGGACACGGGTTCGTGCCCCGGTCCGGGAGGATTCTGCGTGCCGTGGAGCGGCTGGGCCCGTGAGCCGTGGCCGCTGAGCCTGTGCGTCCGGAGCCTGTGCTCCGCAGCGGGAGAGGCCACAACAGTGAGAGGCCCGCGTACCGCAAAAGAAAAAAATAAATAAATAAAAATAAAATGTTATTTAACCAGCTTTTCTTTTGGGAGAACACTTTCTTAGAAACAGAAGAAAAAAACTTTTCTCACTTAAATGAAAATAGTATCACAATTATAACCTCTGTAAAACAATAGACACCAACAAACTGAAATCAAAATTCAGTAAAGATCAAACCATAATATCCATTTTATGTAAGTAAATACTTGGCAAGCTTTCAGAAGATCGATATGGCATTTCATTTATGGACTATAATGGACTATTAATGTCAATAGATAATAAAATTTAGATTTCATCTGTCCAGTTTTTAAGAGAGGCTAAAAATAACACTCATGTACACAACAACATATTGAAAAAGGTTAAAAATAAGGACCTACCCTTTGGTCATGATCTGCTGAAGACAGCAAAAATAAACATTCAGAACCAGCATCTGCTTGAATCTTCTCTACTGCTAGGGCTTTCCAAGATAACAAAATACACCAGAGGTTGCAACTATTAGAACTTGAAAGGGGAAAAAAATTTTAATTAGTCACACATATATCTAATAAGCAATTATGACCCCGTCATCCTACAAGAATATTCATCTAGGATTGAATCACTGAGATTATACTTTGGGTAGACTTTGGTACTAGATAAGAATGTATTTCACTCAATCAGGAAGGAAGGGCAATGCAGTGGAAGCAGAGGGGAAGCTCAGTGAAGCCCAAGGTCAGAGGAAATGATGACACCAGAGAGAAAAGATTGGGATGGCATTTAGGGAGGAACTGAGAAACCTGCCAAGCGCACGTTCTGCCGAACTACTATTACCACAGCCCAGCCCTCTGGGCATCTTTGCTCAGAGAGGGCTTAAACAAAAACAGAGGGACCTGCAAGATGTACCAACCAAACAAATCTTTCTCTAGCCATTGAAGTTAGGCTCTGGAGTCTGCACTTCATATAGTCTCACTTGTGCAGATTTGGGTATTTAGTTGTTTCTGCTTATGTTCCTAGCAAAAATCCCTCTTGAAAAAAATTTGATCTTAACTAAAGTAAATGCATGCTGCTGGTGATGGCAGTAAGGCTAACTCAAGGCAACAAGACAGGGCATTTGTCTGTTCTTGCTTGTGCTTTTGCCCTCATCTAAGTCTTTGACCCTCTGGTTATTTGAAGACAGCTATCATGTATTGCCTTTCACCGCTAAGTTTTTTGCTTCTCCAACATAGAAGCAATTGCTCAATGCTTGCTCTTTTTTTGTTTCTGAGTCTCTCCCTCTGACTGTTCCCTATCCCACTGCCTTCCCATCTGTCAGTATCCTTGAGGTATGCTACCCAGAACTGGATACAAGATGCATTGGAGATTAAACGTATCAACTCCCTTGATCTAAAACTGTATTTCTGTTGATGTTAGCCAAGGTCACATTGGCTTTGGAAGTACAGATTTTTAAGCCAGTCAATCAGCATTCTTACTTAGTTTACTGTCTGGTAGTAACAAGTCAAATAAAAATAACCAGATATAAATTCATTCTTTGGGATTCTTGGAGGTCAAGTCCAGGAGGGAGGAAAAAAAGGAAGTGTGGAGCTCTTTGTGACTCTTACAGTATTTACCAGTATCTGCCCTTTAAAATTCTGAGAGATGTGTATAACCCACAGGCTGCAAGTTCCTTGAAGGTAGACCACCTCCCTTTAGTGTTGCCCATACAAGTGATATTCTTTTGACTTCTTTATTGCAGAAATGTTTATCAAATAATTACATTTAATATTCTACTTAAAAAAAGTTTCCCCATGTTACTATAAATCTTAACTTCTGAGCCCTCAGAATATCCTGTCTTTGTATGCCTGAGACCGTGGGCTGCACCAGATAGTTTATGCTACAATGTGATTTATGGTGAATGCCTATTTTTGTACACCTGTGGCTCTGGGACATGCCATATCAGTTTGACTACTGGGAGGGTGCTGCGGTATCAATGCTGCATGCCTATGTGACTGACTCCAATAAAAACTCTGGACTCTAGGGCTCAGGTGAGCTCCCCTGGTTGGCAACACTTCACACATGTCACACATCACTGTTGGGAGAATTAAACACTCTCCCTGCATCTCCACTGGGAGAGGACAAATGGCAGCTCGTGCCTGGTTTCTCCTGGACTCTACCCTATACATCTTTTCCCATTGCTGATTTTAATTTGTATTCTTTCACGGTAATAAACTATAACCAAGAGTATAATAGCTTTCTGGGTCCCATGAGTCCTTCTTGTGAACCATTAAACCTGAGAGTGGTCTTGGGGATCCCCAACACAGATGTTAACATGGGACAAGAATAAAAATAGTAAGCAATTTGTGCAAGAAACATTTAAGAGGCAATGAGCTCCATAGTTGCTATTCTGTCCATTGTCAAATAAAGGCATCTAGTATAACCAGTGAAGGTAAAGATGTTTATAAAATATCTATTTTGATGGCACAGTTTAACTTTGATCTGGCTATGTCGTCTCTTAAAGAGTTTTGGTTATTTTTTAAAATTCCACAATAAACACAAACATTTCAAAATAGGTTAAAATAAATTTTTATTAAAAAAATTGTATTAAATGTTAGAAGAGATTTATACACAATTCACAAATTCTTTATAAAACATTGCCAATCTTTCTCCAATTGTAATAGTTTTTATGCAGACTTGGAAATTTTGCAGTGAAATAAGGTCTACAAAATATTTCTTTTAGAAAGCATCACAATGATAATTTTAGGCAAAATAGTCTTTAAAACTGAAATATTTGCATGCAAGTGAGTGAGCTCTCAAACACCCGTATTCTTTATCCCAGTGACAAAGTAATGCGAAAATGAACATTAAACTGACTTACTGAGGAAACAATGAACAAGTATTCTGTAAACTTCTCAAATTCACTCCAATTTTTAAATTACTTTCAAAAGCAGTGCCATTACAAGGTACTGACAATCACATTACGTACTCAAAATGAATGTTAATCAAACTAACATTCAAAAAATAAAAATACTGTTGCAAAGAGGCACCCCTTGTTGTAAGGTATGTTAAAGGAGTCTTTATTACACTGAAGGCTTATGGTACGGGCCATAAACCCTACAGGAGACAGTCTCTTCACACAGAAAAATTATAATCCATCCCTTTTAGAAGTGAATAATATCTCTTTAGTAGTGTTGCTGGTTGAAAAAAAAAGTTACAAGTTCTAAATAAGATGGCAACATACAAAAGTGGCCCATAGTTTTGGTCTTTGTCTAAGAGGTACATTCTGTAATTTAACAAAGACTGGCTTTAAATCTTCAGTTCAAAAGCACACTTCTTTTCCGAAAGGATGACTGACCAACTGATGCCATTCAGAGAGCAGAATCCTAACCACGAACTTGAAAGGGGTATGGCTCAATGAAGACAAAAACAAAAACAGTAACTGATTTACCTCAAAGATTAGGAAACAAAATCAATGTCAAAGTATTTGAAATCATAAAAATTCATTGCTTTAAAAATTTCCCCCTGAGCTGTGGATGCTTTTTATATATAGTCTCTAGTAAAACAGATGCATTCTATAATACCAAGTTGTAATTATAAATCCTATGATTCTTGGTGCTGAAAATAGATAAGTTATGTCTCAAACAGCACAAAGTGATAGCAATTACACATTTCGTGGAAATCTTTGGTGAGATGCAATCCTGCATAAGTCTCCTTATTTTGTTTCCCTCCTCATAATACCCTTAGAATCTTCAAGTAATTTTCAAAGGAGAAACCACAAGTCCATAATGAAGGACCAGCAGACCATCCTGAAAAGAAAAAAAGTGTTCTGCAGTTATTTAAAAATCAGTTACGTAAATGATCAAGTCAAAGATAGTTTATTCTGGGGCTTCCCTGGTGGCGCAGCGGTTGAGAGTCCGCCTGCCGATGCAGGGGACACGGGTTCGTGCCCCGGTCGGGGAAGGTCCTGCATGCCGCTGAGCGGCTGGGCCTGTGAGCCATGGCCGCTGAGCCTGTGTGTCCGGAGCCTGTGCTCCGCAATGGGAGAGGCCACAACAGTGAGAGGCCCACGTACCACAAAAAAAAAAAAAGATAGTTTATTTTTCATAACCCGACACTAATGTGAAATTCTTTGATTTAAAGAGAATAAAGGGTCCAAGATAAATAAACTTGCTTGTTCACTCACTTCATTACTAAACACTCCCTGTTAATGTGCCTTTCTAATGACTCTCAGAAGAAAATTCTGAAACTACCAGGTATCCACAGTTAGTCACGGTTGTTTATGGCAAAACAGTTCTTCAAAAAGAACTAAAAGATACACATTTCATTCTGCACAGATTACTTAATATATCACCCAAGCACTGGACTTCTCTAAAAAAGACTCAATTATCATAAAGTATCATGGATCTGATAAGAAAATAAAACATTTATTTCCTACATAAATGCAGCTTACAACTAAAACAAGTGAGAAAATTTTGGAACTCTTACCCATTTAATGTATCATACATTTTACTTCCTCCTTGAAGTCTGTTCAATACAATTTACCCTTTCTTTGATATCCAGAGTCATCATTATGAACAGTAACTACACTGTGCTGTAACACAGTGATGTCCTCTCGGGCCGTGGGAAACTTAACCTGACAGTAAATGACTCCAGATACCTTGTTTCTGAGTCTTTTTATGTCTCCTCTCTTGATATCAGGTCTTAATTCTTTGTGCTCTCACCAAGGCTGCTTAAAAGTGTGCTTTTTAAGGTGTTATTTCTAATCTACTATGAACTGGAAAACTAGCTTAAAAGGAAGGCTCACTGGGGAAGTATGCCATGGGCAATGGGCCTACTTTGAGCAACATATAGAGGGAGTGGTGGCATGCACGCCTTGCATTTCCAACCCTTCGCTAGCTATCGCTCTCTCTTTCTTCTTTATTAAGCTTTTTCATGGCTCCACTTCCTCATTTCTCATTCACTATTCAACTCACTGCAATCTGGCTTCTGTTACTGGCAAGTTCGGTGAAAACTCACCAGAATTCTAGAAAGGGGTTCACCAATTCAAATGCCCACAAAGGCCAGAAAAGTAACATAAATGAATATGTGAATCACGTATGTAGTCTAATAGGGTATGTTGAGACCAGTGGTAAACCAGAGAGCAGATGCTTAGCTAAAGGAATTTAAACTCAAAAATTAGAATAAGCAAACAAAGTATAAGTCCCATACCATGTTTGGCCCACGGACCATCAGACCTGTTCTAGACTAACTAGTCTAATCAAAGTAAATGAATTTGTATTCTAACACACACAGAAGGATCCTATTAACATTTTTACATGAATAAAAATTACATTTTACATAATGTCAATTTTTTTGCATATAGCTATATTTCACAATTACAAGCTGTTTCAAAATCTCAAAACTTCAATACATGTATAAAATCGCATTTTATGAAATGAGATAATTCCTTATAATTCAAATTTAAATCTATGTCTATTATGTTTATATTCCATATAAATATATGGAAATATATAAATATTATTTATATTTTATATTTAGATATCTCCATTCATGGTCTTCTTAAACTATCCAACCAGAGTGAATCTTCTAAAAGGTAAGTCAGCTTATGTCTCTTCTGTCCTTGGCTCAAATCTCTCCAATCAGTAGTTTCCACTCAATTAAAATCCAAAGTTCATACTACAGCCTATAAAGTCCTGCATGGTTTTATTCCAACTGCTCAGATCTCAGCTCCTACCATTCTCTCCCTCACTTGCTACCTTCTAGCTTTCCCACTGCAGAGATATGTTATTCATTTAGCTAAGAGGTCCTGAGATTACATGACACATTGTTATCAATGAGGACTTTAACTAATTATATTTCAGGTTATTTAAGTTCTGGGACTTGCTCATCTCTGAATCTCCCCATGCCTAGAATAGTGCTCCGTAAATACTTTTTGAATTGAAGTCATATTTTCTACCCACTCCACTGACTTTTCAATTTTACTCCTAGATTCTTACATTTCTAATCAAGCTTAACTTTTAAAAAGACAATCAGGATTTCCCTGGTGGCACAGTGGTTAAGAATCCGCCTGCCAATGCAGGGGACGCAGGTTTGAGCCCTGGTTCGGGAAGATCCCACATGCTGTGGAGCAACTGAGCCCGTGCGCCACCACTACTGAGCCTGCGCTCTAGAGCCCATGAGCCACAACTACTGAGCCCACGTGCCACAACTACAGAAGCCTGAGCACCTAGAGCCCATGCTCCGCAACAAGAGAAGCCAGCGCAAGGTAATGAAGAGTAGCCCCCGCTCGCCGCAACTACAGAAAGCCCGTGTGCAGCAACAAAGACCCAACGCAGCCAAAAATAAATAAATAAATTTATTTTTTTAAAAAAAGACAATCATTTTCTAAGATTTCTGAAGTTTGACCTTATAAAAATTTTAAGAAATGTTTTGTTTATATCTCTAAGTATGCTTTACTTAGCCAAGAAACAATTTTGCTTTTGTATTTTATGAAGAATCTTTTGAATTATTTGTTACCAAAATGTAGACAATTGGTATGGTGCTCTATTTCTAAAAACATGTAAGAATAATCAAATAATCACCCAAATAAGTATTCAGCTACCCTTTTGTTAAGATTCTAAGCTTTAAGCTCAAATTTTTTAATAGGTGAACCTTGATTCTACCACTAACTAGCCAAGTGACCTTGGGCAAGTTACTTAATCTCCCTACACCAGTTTCCTCATCTATATGATCCACCAACGGATTTTAGAATTAGAGGGTAAAGTTCCAGGAGTAACTGGATCTTTCTCTTCATTAAAATTGTAAGTCTTATCTTGCTTTTCATGTATCCTGACCAGATTTCATATTATATTCCCACTCACATTATAGGCTAATTAAAACATCAAAACGGTTACCATGGCTTCTTACCAATTGAGCAAGGAATGGTATGTAAATCTCTATAGCCTAATGAGTCTCTACAAATTTTTCTTAAAGAAATGTCCTTGAAGATACATTTGCCCAGTAGTCTTCAAAGCTCAACTGCAATACTGGACAGAGAAAAAAGAAAAAAAGGCCTCTAGAATCAAACTGCCTGCAGTTTGAGCCCTGGTTCACTCACTCACTCACTCACTGTGGGCAAGTTACATGTCCTCTCTGTACCTTGGTTTCCTTATCTTTAAAATTGGGGAAAAAAGAATATCTGCCTCATAAAACTATGAGGGAATAAGAAAGCTAATCGATACAAATCATTTAGAAGAATGCCTGACACACAGTAAGCATTCAATAAACATTAGCTTTATTATTTACAGTCCAGATAATTTCAAGAAAATTATAGAATATTTCTTAAAACTTTACTGATAACATGCAACATTTTTCTTTCATTAAATAACTTGTCCATTAGGCATAAATACGGTAAAGTCTAAGACCTACCTGCATTGCTGCATCACCTATTGCACGTCGAATTTCCCTTAGAGTTTGATAGCGCTCTAACAAGTGATCACCACAGATGATATCTACCTACAGGCAAATAAGAGTATAAGTTTGCTTTCCTGCTTCAGAAAACCATATGACAAAATGAGGAAGATCAACATAATTATTTTTAGACTAGACTTTGCTATTTTAGACTGATTAAACACTATCAAGAAAGATTTTAGAAACTTTTTACAAATAAAGTAAAATGGAAGGAGCATTAAAGGACATAGCAGGACAAACAACACTACAACAGACATTCAAAATGATTTCCTTGAATCTCTGAGAACAAGTTAAATCATATTTGATATGTTCAGCACAAGAAGGCCGAGAAAAGTCTATTATTTTAAAAAGTTTCATGACACAATGATTAATAGGGCTCATAATGCTTAAAAAGGCAATCTTTAGTTATTTGAATAATTTTCTTAATGAGGAATATCTCATTTTCCAACGGTGGAAAGTCTACTACTGACATAAAGTACACAATAAGGGAACTGTTTTACAGATGGAACAATCTTAACAAGGTCTTTTCAGCCCTTTTAGTAAGGTCAAAGCTCTAAGATAAATCTACTTTTATATAGAATGCTCTAGAAAGAACGATATGGTTGTACAGTTATATACTATATTGTAATATGATTCCAGTATACGCACTTGCTAGAAACAGAAATGCAAATCCTTATATTCTCTTTCACTGAGTACTCCTTTCCCGTTGCCTTAAAATGGGAACAGGTCCTCAACATCTTATTTAATACATATCACTTAACAGGCTCCCCCTCCTAATGTCCCTATTTAGCTTATAGCATGAGATTTCTCTTTGCTCCAAACCAAAATATCAGCTCTAACTCCTATTTCTCCTTTTCCTTTCTTCTCACATGCAGTTACCAAGTCCTGTTGCTTCCTTCTTCACCATGCCTTTTAAGTTCATATCATTCTTTCAACTGCTGCTCTTAGGCTTAAACCACTGAAACCGTCTCCTAACCAGATTTCCGACCTTCAAATTCCGTTTACTCTAAAAATCCTATGCACTGCCAACATGTTAGTTTCCCTAAAACCTTCAGCATGGTTGGGTAAGAATAGTAAAAGCAGTTGCATTTAACTGAGCAGCCTCTATGCACAGCATTTGTTACACTATATATTTGACATATGTTACCTCATCTCATTTTCACATTCCCATGAGCTAGGTATTGTAATTCCCATTTTACAGATAGGACGCTAAGAAGTAAAGACATTAAACTTTCCTAAGGTCACAAAACTAGTAAGTAGCAAAGTTCAGATCGGAACCCAGGTCTGTCCCCAGGTCTATCTTTCTCCAAAGATAAGTGCATGTCAGGGGTTGGCAAACTTTCTACAAAGAGCTAGATAATAAACATTTTAGGCTTGTGGGACTCAGGATCACTGTCACATGTGCTCAATTCTGTCACTGTAGCATGAAAGCAGCCATAGTATGGCTGTTCCAATACAACATAATTCATAAAAAGATGGCAGGTTAGATTTGGTCCATAGGTCAGTTAGTCAAGCCCTGTGGTATCTCACAATGAATAATCTCCGATTAGTAACAACTTTTGTTTTATGCTTACCAGTTTTAAAGTTGGCAAAGCAATACTTGCCTGCAAAAGGACTTGAAAGCAATAATAGCAGATCTTGTGCACAGAACTTAGGTCCATGAAAAATGAAAGAACTTGGAAACTAACATTATGTTTTTATTAAGTATCCGACTATCCAGAGATCACCATTCTTAGTGGGCTTCACCACATGGTATACATTTATGATTTGGTTACTACAATTTTCTTTTCAACTTAATCTTACCCCCCAGAGGTTAGCCATTTACTAACAGTTTGATGCATATGCTCCTAGATGCAATGTGTGCATGTGGGGATTGTGGTTTTGTTTTTCTAGAAATGGGATCATGTCACATATTTTGTTCTACATATTTTTAAAACACACACAGACACAAACAACAAAAACTTAATATACTACGGAATCTCTTGGAATGCACAGTTAGCTCTCTGTGTTTAATAGCTGCATAGTGTTCCATTTTATGAATATATCATAAACTGTATCTCTATCCTCCTGATAAACATTTAACTACTTCTCATTTTACACGCTGATTTTTAAGTTACTTGACTGTAAATTCTTCATAAATTAGTTCATTCAAACAGAATCACATCTCTGAGGGTGCCACAAACATGACCCACATATTTGATAATTTGCTAGAAGGACTCACAGGACTCAGCATGATCACAGCTATGAGTAATTACAGCAACACAGCAAGGATACACAGTCAGATCATCAGTAAGGTAAAAAGATGTAGGTAGAGTCTGGAGAAATCCACGCACAGGCTTCCTATGCTCTTCCCTCCCAGTCCAAGAGGAGATAACACCCACACACTCTTTTCTCTAGCAGTGGAAATGCAGTCAATTTGTGCAGTGTTTCTGCCCAGGGAAGCCCATTTGAGGCTCAGAGTTTAGGGTTTTTATTGAGGGATGGTCATGTTGGCATTCTCTGCCTAGCAACTACCAAATTCCAGACTCCCAGAAGCAAAGCAGGTATTCATCATAGACCCATTGTTTGTACAGTCTAGGTACAGGGAAACACCCTTAATAGTTAGGTAACTTTTCATATTAGCACAGGGAACTTTTTATAATCCAACTTCCTAGATGCTAGGCAAGGGCCAACCTTGTAAGCCAGCCCTCCTAAAGGCAGCAGCCTCAGGTCTGCTTTGTTAACTCTTTTCTGCTTAATCTTTCTACCCTTTGGAGTATTAAGTCTTAGTTAGGAAGAATAACTACGATATTTCTGAATCTCAGAGCAGAAATGGTAATGTGAAGATAGTCTTAAGGGAAGAAAAACCCTTATCTTTTTAAAAGCAAGATCACACTAAAGCTTTCAGGACAGGATTTTTCACTGATTGAGCCAGTGCCACACCCATTCCTCTTTGTTCATACATACTTTTCTTTGATAGAAAGTTCTTTTTTCTTTGTCTGTCTGGCAAAAAAAAATCCATTCTTCAAATCCTTTCTTTGACCTCTCCAGAGTTAAATCATTCACTCTGTGCTCTTGTGGCACTCATCATATCCTATTGTCATTCATTGTTTACTTTTATATCTTTCCCACACAACACGGAGTCACCTGGTGGCATTTTCCGTCTCATCTTTGTACTGGAGGCCAAGCACATAGATGCTCAATTTAGTACCAACAGATAGTAAATGAATGGTAGGGATACACCATATGACATGTTAGAGTCTCTGAAAAATGATTTGGAAATAATTCAATGATAGGGTTAAGGTCATATACTAAATAAATAATGAAAAAAGGAACCTGGGCTTCACTGGTGGTGCAGCGGTTAAGAATCTGCCTGCCAATGCAGGAGACACGGGTTCAAGTCGTGCTCCGGGAAGATCCCACAAGCCACGGAGCAACCAAGCTCGTGCGCCCCAACTACTGAGCCTGCGCCCTAGAGCCCGTAAGCCTCAACTACTGAGGCCCGCACGCCTAGAGCCTGTGCTCTGCAATGAGAAGCCACCACAATGAGAAAGCCAGCGCACTGCAACAAAGAGCAGCCCCATGGGCTTCCCTGATGGCGCAGTGCCTGCCGATGCAGGGGATACGGGTTCGTGCCCCGGTCCGGGAAGATCCCACATGCCGCGGAGCGGTTGGGCCCGTGAGCCATGGCCGCTGAGTCTGCGCGTCTGGAGCCTGTGCTCCGCAACGGGAGAGGCCACAACAGTGAGAGGCCCACGTACCGCAAAAAACAAACAAACAAACAAAAAAAACAAAGAGCAGCCCCTGCTCGCCTCAACTAGAGAAAGCCTGCGCAGCAACGAAGACCCAACTCAGCCAAATAAATAAATTTATTTTTAAAAAAAACCTATCTTTTAAGATGGAATTAATTATGGTAGGATTAACAACAAAATCTACTACCACATCTTTTATATAGAGAATATGTAGTGATCAATGTGGTAATCATTTCAAAAAAGCAAAATAAGGTCTGAAGGTCAAATAATGTACAAAGGAACACAAGAGTTATTAAAAAACAAGATACAATAAGACAGCAATAAATGCAAAACACCATTAAATCAACCATGGTGATCCAGAGGCACTGGGCTCTCTTATGTGAAAGAAATCTACTTAGATAATTATTGATTTCTCATTTGAATTAACTTAAATCTCTTAAGAACACATGTCTACATTTTTTTTATCTTTCAGAACTGTCTTCCTTCTTTATTTTAATCTGCCACAAATAAATAATACTTTTAAAGGTATTTTATCATTTAACAGTCCCCTAGTAGTCATTCATTCCT